GCCCAGGTTGGAGTGGGATCTGACCAGTGCCCTGGGTCTCCCAGAACTGCCTTGCAGGGCAGTGCAGCTGTATGACACTCCCTATGAGGAGCAGGATGGAGAGCCAGGAGACAAGCCTCTTTCGGGGCAGAAGCCTCGACAGAGCCGGCTGCCCCAGGAAGATGAACGACCGGCGGATGAGTATGACCAGCCCTGGGAGTGGAAGAAAGACCACATCTCCAAGGCATTTGCAGGTGCTTCTCAAACCTGAACTTCTAAATGCCCGAGTCCCTCTGTTTCCTGCTCTGGTCCCATCCCCTGTGCCAACTTACAAAGTAGACTCTAGTTATCAGCCACTTTGGTAGTTTGTTAATTCTCACTACAGTATGAATGACTGATAGTCATAAGTTTCTCTTCCCAGAAGAAACTATCTTCCTCAGAAACAGAAACACCTTTTAGGGGACAATAGGACCTACGCATTCTGCTCAGTATAGTGCAGGCAAAGGCTTTGGTGTCAGACTGGACCTGAGTTTGTGTCCTTACTTGGGCAAGTTGTTTATCTCCCTGAGTTTCAGTTTCCTTACCTGTAAAATGGGGGTCATTATGATACCTACCAAAGGGACACTTGGAAATCGAGTGCTATAAAATGCTTGAATTACACAGGAGCTGTTGGGGAGAGGGTAGCGTTTCTTAGTAGCTGTCACCCGGTGGAGTGGGTAAGCTCGAATCTCTCTGAATCTCAGTTTCCTCTTCTATGAAAGGAGTAACAGTATGGTAGGTCAGCTTTAAGAAATAAAATAGCTTGGACCAGGAGGAGTTGTACAAACCGAATTTTCCCCATAAGTTGTATCGCTGGGAGGGGAATTTGGGTTATGTGCCTCAGTTTACTCGTCTGTACATCGGAGGTGGTTTTCTAGTTCTGTGATTTGCCTGGAATGGGGCAGAACCTCCAACCCACCACCACTCTAGCCACGCCTACCGCTGTCTGATTTGTCACTTATGGAACTGTAGCGCCCATCTATGACAGCTGGCTTACGGATGGCCTCGCCCCTTGCTTTCTTCTGAAGGCCAATATGGTTGGTCCCGTACCAATTCTGCCCCAGCCTTAAGCCCAGCCCCTCCTCTCCTGGATTCCATTGGCCCCTCCTTTCTACTGAGATTCCATTGGCTTACCCCCACTCCGCCCCTCCCAAGTACGTTGGACTTAAACACTTACTCTCTAACCCTCCCTCTCCAGTGCAGTTTGACAGTCCGGAGTGGGAAAGGACCTCCAGCTCAGCCAAGGAGCTCCGGAGACCCCAACCCAGAAGTCTCCATCCTGCAGAGCGTGTGGACCCTGCTCTGCCCCTGGAGAAACAGCCGTGAGTGGGGAAACTGAAGATGAAGGAGTGGGATCTCTCCTGGCCCCATTCCAGCTACAGATTCCGGGGACTGTCAGGGGCTGGAGGAACTTAATCCATTCATTCTTTTCATTCATTTCTTCAAGTAATCTTCACTGCGCACCAACTCTTGCTGTGTGCTAGGCCTTGTAGTTGGGTGCAAAGTGGAATCAGATGGGGTCTCACTTCCTTCTGGCATCAGATTCTGGGTTCAAATCCCGCTCTGTAATCCCTGGCTGTATGACCTGAGCAAGTCACTTAACTTCTCTGAGCCTTCGGCCTAAAGCCCCAAGTTGGTACCTAGCTCAAAGAGAGTAACAAGGAATTTCCTTCCTCCCTCCCTCCCTCCCTCCCTCCCTCCCTGGAGTGGGGCTTATAAGCCTGAAAACAAAAAGGCAGAAATCATTCTTACCCTCAAGACAAGACTGGGGTAGAACCTGAAAGAACAGGATTTTGAGGACACCCCAAGTTTGGGCTGCGGTGAAGTGCACAAGCTGGACGGGTCTGGCTTTTCTCTGTGTCCCTCCAGCTCAGGAGTCCTTGAGGGACTCCCCAGGCCCCCAGGTCCCAGCCCTGTGGATGTGGTTTTGTCACATCATTCCCAAACCTCATAGGTGGGTGATACAGACCTGGCTAATCGACACTGAAGCGCAGGGTGAGAAGTTTATGTTTCTCCATTTGCCTTCAGTACAAACAACCACGAAGTCCCTGGTGCTCATCTGTCTCTGAAACCTTGCTCACAACTGCTACCTCTCTTAAAGAGCATGTTAAAGAAAAATATTAAGTAACAAATGGTACCGGTGGGTGGGGATACAGGCTGTGACAGGCTGATACACAGGTGACTCAAGTCGGGGAGTTAGGGAGGGCGCTGAATTACCCAGCCCAGGGAGGCTGAGATCAGCAACAGGGGTAACTGGCGGATGTTGGGAGCACCTCCACATTGCCCCAGGCTCCGCTGCCTCCTTGCGGAAACCAGGCTCCTCTTGAGAAAGTCAAGGTCTTTTTTTGCTTTGGATTGCCTGGAGGTCAAAATCCTTTAACCAGCCTTGCCTGCACCAGAGCCCGGGGTGTGTTTGAAGGGGATCGCCCTTCCTGAGACATCTGCCCCCACACCCCAGGTGGTTTCATGGCCCTTTGAGCCGGGCAGATGCTGAGAACCTCCTCTTGCTCTGCAAGGAAGGCAGCTACCTTGTGCGGCTCAGTGAGACCAGCCCCCAAGACTGCTCCCTGTCCCTCAGGTGAGACCTTCAGGGACAGAAGGTCACAGGACTGCATGCATCATGGTTTTGGGTTTATTCAGTGGGAGCAGAGGGCTGTAGCTCCAGCAGTTCGTGGGCTGGGCTTTCAGGCCAGTGGATGGGACTTACAGGACCTGTGAGTGGGATTTTCAGGGAGACCACAGGCAAGGTTTTTACTGAGAATGAGCTCCCTGTCAGGGTAGGTATGCAAGAAGATGGAGTGGAAGATCTAGGACTTCAGCGAGATGGACAGCCAGATGCCCCAGCCCAAAAGTTAACGTATATTTATTTATGTCTTTCCGGGGCCAGGATCTGATCCGGGGCCCTGTAGGCATTTGAGTTGGAGACCCTGGTTCTACATGCTTCTCTGCCTAAGAGTCTAAGCATGTCTGATCACACGACACTCCTAAGATTCTACTAGGCATCTGACTGTGAGATTTCTAAAAGGCCAAGACTGAGGAGGGCTTTGGAGGCAGGTTTAAATCTGACCTCTACCACTTTCTAGCTGTGTGACCATAGCTAAATTGCTCAACCTCTCTGAGCCCTGGTTTCCTCATTTATGAAAGGAGGATAACAGCATCAACTCCATGGCAATACTGCAAAGATTAAATGGAAGAAAATACATGAAAAAATGTTGAGAATAGTTCCCCAGAAACAGGAAGTACTTGACTCATATTAATGATGTGGATAAAATGATCCCGGGGTTCTCCATTATTCCACCCACCAGAGACAGAAAGGAAAGGGACCCCAGACTGGGGGTTCGCTAGTAGGGAGGCCAGGTGGGGTCAGGAGGTTTGGTGAGAAAGTACTTTTGTGGTCCAGGGGAGGGAATGTCCCCTGGCAGGACCCTCAGCCTGCCTGGATAGGGGACAAACATAGAAGGCATTCCTGCTGCGGGAAGCAAGCCAACACCTTGGTACCAACTGGCTGTTTCCCAGAAATATTTGGAGATGCCAGCCCCTGGCTGCTAGGGGCCATGAGGGGGTGGCTTCAGGGTTGCAGAGCGTGCTGGGGTCTGTCTGGAGTACTCAAGGCCCCCTGTGACTTTGTTCCCCAGAAGCAGCCAGGGCTTTCTGCATCTGAAGTTTGCACGGACCCGAGAGAACCAGTTGGTGCTGGGTCAGCACAGCGGGCCCTTCCCCAGTGTGCCCGAGCTGGTGCTCCATTACAGCTCACGCCCGCTGCCCGTGCAGGGCGCTGAGCACCTGGCCCTGCTGTACCCGGTGGTCACCCAGAGCCCCTGCCCTGGAGCCTCTGCCCCCTGCCCGGCTCCCTGAGACTGAGATTCACTGGATGCAAACGCTGGAGGTCTTTCAAGTCCTGCAGGAGGCCCAAGGGGAAGACTTCCTGCCCTCCCAGGCCCTGGGTCTTCATTAGGGCTTCCCTCTCAGTCCCCTTCGGGGTTCTAGGGTCCCAGATTGTGTCTGAAAGTCCTCTTCTGGCCTGGAAAATAAATAAGTTATTGTGTATTTCAAGCGTCCTTTCTGGGAGGCCGGGATCCCAGCCCCTGGGAAGGATGAAAAAGACCGACCCTTAGAGAGAGAAGGGCATCCCCAGCTCCTCATTTTGGGGACAGGCCTGGGGTTGGAGCCTGAATTGCTCTCGGGGAGGGATCAAACCCCTGAAAGCTGTAGACAGTGCAGACGTGCAGATAATGAGGGAGAAACCCAGAGAGGGCTCTCAGGCCAGCCCCGCCCCCATCCAGCCCCTCCTCCCTATTAGGGCGGGCAGCTGAGGCTTGATACTGCTGCTGAAAGGACATCTGTCCCCATGGAAACAGCAGAAGTGGGGGAGGGGAGCCGGCCGGGCTGGTGTCACTTCAAGGTGACTGTCGGGCAGGAGACCCCAGAGGCTGATAAATGCCAGGGAGTCCGATCTCCCTCCTCATCCCCCATCTCCAAGCCTGCTTCCAGGGAGACACCAGCTGGGGAGGGGGCTTCCATCTCTGGGCACCACCCGGAGGCTGGGGGCATCCCTTCTCTGCTAATTGGACATGTTCCTCCAAGGATAAGAGGGAGGAGCTGGTGAGTTGTCATTGGAGGTCCTCGCCACAGTGGACCTCTCCGACCATCCCTGAGGGACCTGGGACCCCAGGTAACCCCTCAAGTGTTTTTAGCACCCCAAAATTGCCACCAAGTCTGGCTTTGCTTTCTTCATGAGCCTTTACAGTGTGTCCTGGGGGTAAGGGAGAGGTCCATAGTCAAAGAAATGAGGACAGGGGTCTCAGGGTGGGCTGCTGGACTCCCCAACACCCCTGGAACTAACCATCTTCTTTTTTTCTTGATTTTGAGAGCACATTTATTAAAGCTGGGGACACTGACACAGGGAAGGTCCCCGGACAGAAGAAGCAATGGGAGAGCCCAGGCAGGGCTGCTTGGCTCTCTGAGCAGTCTGAGAAAAGGGGTCAGCCCAGGACGAGCTGCTGCTGCCCATTGCTCCCCTGGTTGCAAGTCTCGTGGGGACCCTTGTGTCTAAGAGATGCACGCCTGTGGGGGAAGGAGAGTGGGAAGGGAAAGGCATGTGGGTGTGCTCCCAGGAGGGAGAGCAGCCCTGACCCAGTCCTCTTGACCTAGATACTGGAAGGTCCTTCCTCTCTGCCTCCAGGGGTTCTGACTCCTCTTTTAGGTTCAAGGAACGCTCCTGATGTTAGATGCCTAGAAGAGCCTGGGCCAGGAGAAATTTTGCCTATAGAAATGGGGTGACTGGGCCCAGGGCTGGGGCTGGGGCAAGGTTTGGGGACCAGACGCTACTGAGGGGTGGGGGTGGGGTGGGGAACTGAGATGGAATAGAAGCTGTGGCCCTACTGGCCCTCCCTGGGGATGTCCAGTACCTTCCCCTCCTGAGGCCATGACTCGGTCTTCTTTGGAGTTTCCTGGGCCAGTACAGGATGTTGCTGTAAAGGGCATTACCTGTTGAGGGAAGATGACAAAGGCAAAGAAGGGACAGTCTCTTAAGAGATCCTGGCTTTTTTCAGCCCCCCTCTGAGGGCTTTGTCTCTGCTTCTGAAAAGCATGGATGTAGTGGTTAGCTTTCTCTATCTATTCCCCTCTTTTTATGCCTCAGCCCCACCTTCCCTCCCAGAAGTGGTAGGTATGGACCTAATTCATCCTTGTCATTAGCTGCAGGTCCCGACTCTGCCACAAGGGGGAGAGGTCCCCCGTGGATGGCCTTGCCCGTGTCCTGTGCTCCCAAAGGCTGTGGTCCCAGAGCCAGGCACCCAGTTCGATGATAATGCTCCCCAGCCACCAGCAGTATAGAGAATCCTGGGGGTAAAAGGGTGGAAGACAGCGAACAGAGGAAACAGGAGTGGGGCAGGAGGAGGGCCAGGGCAAGGCTCAGCTGGAAGCCAGAGATCTGATTTCATCGGTAGTGGGCCACCTGCAGAGATGAAGCCTCTGTCTCAGAATGCTCATCTTCCCATCCATCCTCCTGCACCCTTTATGGTCAGAGCTTTCCACCCAATGTGGCAGCTTAGGGTCCCTGTCCCTGCCATGCTGTGTGTTTGGGCAGGTGCTCGCTCTGTTGCCTCTTTTGAAAAACGAGGCTAACATTCCCATGTTGCTCGGTTACTGTAGAATAATTGCCAACTGGATTTTTCTCAGTGCTCCATCACCCTGGTCAAGAGCTCAAGTGACCTCGCCATGACCTCCTCGCCCTAATCATAAGGGCTCAATTACTTGCCCAAGGTCACACAGCAAGTGAATGGCAGGGTGGGGACATGCTGCCAGGTCTATAATTAACACGAACCCCAGTCAAATCTCCCTTCTGCTGCAACTGAAGCCCAGCACCCGCAACCCCTTCATCTTCAGTTTCCAGTGCTGACAGCCCTCCCTGGGGACTGTGAAACAGCTGTCTGGGGGTGGGAAAGCCGACTGTGCCAAGCGGCTCCCAAAGCTTCAAACAACTCAAAGAGAGCCTGGTGCCTCTAATTGGTAATTGGCCCTTCCTCACTGGAGGGGTGGGGGTCGGCAGGACAGCCATAACATGCCACCCTGGAGGCAGGCAGTGGGCGGGGCCTGCTGGCTGGAGAGGAGCGGGCATCTCTTGGGGCTGGGAGCCAGGGTGATGCTCCACTCCACCCGACAGGGGCAGGGCACGTGCCCAAGGCCATCGGAAACCACCAGGAGTGGGAGATCGGTCTGAGTCGCCTTGGGTCTCCTGCCCCTGCTCAGAGTTTAACCCATAAAGGGGTATCATGTGGAGTGAGGGGGTGTGGAGAGTTTTTTGTATTATGCACATCTATGCTTTATCTATAGAAGGAGTGAGATTTTCCTTTCTCCCCAGGAACAAATTTTTACCTCCTTAGGAGTGGTATGCCCATTGAAAACATATGCTATAGCTCTCTTTTTTTCACTTTTGAAACTTTTTAAATTGAATTTATTGGGTGATGCTGGTTAATATAATCATATAGGTTTCAGGTGTACAATTCTATAATACATCATTTGTATATTGTATTGTGTGTTCACCAACCCACATTTTCTATGTTTGTAAGAGCCAAGAATTTAAAGGCCCTAGGATTCTAGAATGGCAAGATTCTACTCTGTGGTTCATGATTCTAGAATTGTCTAGGCACAAGAGAAATGTGTACATATGTTGACCAAAAGACAGGTTCTAGATTGTTCGCTGCGGCCTCGTTCCTAATCGCTAAAACCCAGAGCTGCCCAAACGCCCAGGAATAGGAAATTGGGCTGATAAGGGGCAGTGGAGTCACATGCTGGAACGCTCCACCCCAAGGAAAAAGAACAAGCCTCTACTGCATGCGCTGACATCACGTGGAGTGAAAGAGAAAATATGAGATTCCATTTAAATAAAACGGAAAACCAGCAAAATGGATCTAGGCGGCAATAAATGAGGACAGTGTCATGGTGGGGAGGACTATCAGTGAAGTGCCATGAGGACAATACTTAGGAGGCTGGAATGTATTTCTTGAGCTGGGTGGCGAGTGCCAGGGGGCGGGGCTCCACTATGCAAATCCATTTCTAGGGCCTGAACACGTCTCCCCCACCCAATGCATCGGTTGAATCCTAACCACCAAAAGATGAGGATGTTATGAGTGGGGCCTTTGGGGTATGATGAGATCATGAGGGCGGGGTCCCCAGAAATGGGATAGGTGCCCTTATGAAAGAGGCCATGGAGATCTCCCTCACCCCTCTGCCATGTGAGGACACAGCAAGAAGACACTGTCTATGAACCAGGAAGAGGTTTTTCATCAGAACATGACCGCGCTGGCACCTGCTCTCGGACTTCCAGCCTCCAGAATTATGAGAAATACATGTCTTTGTTCACAATCAGCTGGTGTGCAGCGTTTTGTCATGCAAGCCGGAGCAGACGGATGCCCACTGGGCAGCACATTCCTCTGTATGTAGGGTGCCTTCAGTGATGCATTTAAACAAAGATTCGGGGATTTTTTCAATTAAAATCTCCCGACCTGTACGTACTCAAGAGTCGATGATTGTGACTCTCTGGAACTGGCTTCAGCAAAATATACAACCCATGGATCAAATTCGGCCCACTTTCTCCGTCTTCAAACAAAGCTTTACTGAAACCCAGCCCTACCCATTCACCTACGGCCCACTACAGAGGCTTTCGTGCGGCAGGGGCAGAGTGAAATAGCTGCAAAAGAGACTGGCTGGTTCACAAAAAGAAATATTTACTATGTTTGCTGGATCCCTGGTCTACAGTTGTGAGTTCCAGCACGTCTCTGGTTCTGTGATCTAGAATTTGATGCTCTTGTGTTCATAGGATTTCTGTTCCTAAGAATTTGATTTTAATTTAGTTTGTGTTTCTAGCTGTTTGAGATTCTAGAGTCATAAGATTCTGGAAGTTCCAAGTCCCCGCCTCTTCTCCCCACTTGCTCTCATACCTGTCTCCACGAGGAGCTGTGTTCCATTGCCCTTGGCCTCCACCAATCCAGCCATCTCCATGGTTGTCTGGCACAAGTAGTTCCCACTGTTGTTGAGGCTCACACGGTCCAGCTATGGGGTGAGAATGCCAGGCGGCCACCAGAAGAGATATCCCTGGGGACCACGGATCTCCAGGCTGAGGTTGCTATTGGTGACACAGGGTGGGCAGAAGGCAACGCTGGCCTTGGTCCACTTGACATGAAGCTGCTCCCAGGCCTGAGACTGCACCACCTGACAGGCCAAGCTCACCTGTCCGTCCTACCTCACCTGTAGCAACTTGGGCCCTTGTTGCACATTTAGCCCCGTGGCTCCTTGCAAGGCCGGGACACAGAGGGGGCGAGTGAGCCCTTTCTCGGTGTATGTGTGTGTGTGTGTGTATGTGTGTGTGTGTGTTACTCAGTGGGGTGAGAAGTGGCATCTTCTCAGTGGCAGTAAGAAGTCAAAAGCTTGCTGTCTGTGTGATCTTTTGCACGCTCACTTCTGCTTGCTGAGGTTCAGTGGCCTCATCTGTGAAATGCGTATAACTCTCTCCACCCTTGTGAAATTTCAAGATGAACTTTGTGACATGCCCAGCTCTCAGCCACACAAACATCACTTCATGTGGCCAGACCTTGTTCCAGACACTGCAGACGCAGACACAGAGCTGATGGTCTGCGGCAGAGGCACAGGAAGTCGTGAAACGGGAATCCTGGTGGAAGAAAGGGATGGGGAGTGGCAATGGGGGTGAGGATGAGGCGAGAATCTGCTTATCGAGGGTGGTCAAGGATGGCCTCACCAGGGAGGCGACGTTTGAGCTGGGATCTGAATGGTAAAAGGTGGCCAGTCTTGGGAAGGAAGGTACGGAGGAAGAGGGGTCCACGTGGAGGGAACCACCTGGCAAAAGGCCCTGAGGCTAGACTGTGCTTGATGAGTTGGAGGAACAGCCACACCAGCCAGGGCCAATTTAAGTTTTAAAAAGATCACCCCGACTGCTGTGAGAACAGACCATGGGGGGAGGTGGGGTTAGAAGCAGCAGCCAGGACATGAAGATCCAGGTGAGCAGTAATGGGGTCCAGACCCGGGAGAGAAGTAGTCAGACTCTGAATAGATTTTGAGGGTGACTCCCAGGAGAACTGCAAGAAGAACTAAATTGGAAAGAAGCAAAGAGGGATGATGGGAAGTCCCCAGGTTTCAGCCTGAGACACTGTGTGAATAGCCGTGGGTAGCGGTGGCTGTTGACCAAGATGCGGGACACGGAGAGGAGAGGAGGGCTGGGTAGAGAAGAGTTTGCTTTAGCACCTTGTAGATCCCCCCAGAGGGGTTGACTTTATATTAAGCTCCTGACATTTGAAACACAATTGCAGCTGACATTACAAAGACAAGATCCAAGGAAGAGTGTTTCAGGTGGAGGGAACAGCATGTGCTAGGGCCCAGAGGTGGGATCAAGCGTGGCGTGCTAGAAAAAAAGAACAGAAAGACGAGCCAGCAGTCTAGCCAAGGGGGAGGAGGGAATGCAGAGGGGATGATGTGGAGATGAGAGAGGCCAGTGGGGCCAGGCCATGCAAGGCCGATATGCAGGTCATAGTCTGAATTTTACCCTGAGGCCCCCTCTGAGGACCCTTGCTAGGCTCGTTCAACTCTCCTAAGGTTCCGACTACCCGAGAAAGATGGCCCTGTTTGGCAGAGCGGAGAGACTAAGGTTTAGAGGGGCTCAGTGGGAAGGGCAGGCAGCTGGAGTGATGGACAACAGAAGGGGGTGCAGAAGGGAAAGAAGCCCAAGGGCTCACCACAGAACTGTACCAGGCAGACCAGTGCCGTGCCCGGGGACCCCATTCCTGGCCTATCGGGCCCTCCTCTTGTGGCTGGAACCCTGCCACCCCCTCTACCTTTCCCATTCAACAGAGTTCCTGCCGCAGTCCCTACCCCAGGTACAGAGGCAAATGGGACATCTGGGCTAGACCCCATATGCCTGGTGGCTAGTGCTGCTCAGGGCTCCGCTTCCAGCCACCTTTTGCCTCAGTTTCGCAAAGGTGTGGGGTTTTTTTCCATCTAAAATGCAATATACATATGTGAGTAGGAATGTGTCCCAGTGAGTGGAGACCTTCCTGGAACTCTTTGTATGAACACACCTGGCCCAGGAGGATACATTGGAAGGGCAGGTGATGCAGCCATGGGGGAGGGGAGCCCAGGAAGATGGAATAGCAGAATCCAGAGTTAATTATTTTCCCCCCAAGTGTCTTCCTCTGAGGGTCAGAAGCAACAATTTCTGCTGATGGCTTCGGCTCCCACGACAGGTGTGGAGGGTTATTCTGACCGCGTGGCCTGGACAGAAAGAAGCTTGCCTGCTCAGCGGAGGGGATTCATAGGCTCTGGACTTCCAGCCCTGCGCCTGTCACCCCAGGGCCAGCAGCACTCCTGGGGAAAAGGGGGCAGAGCCCTGGGCCTCAGCTGCAGCATGACCGCCTCTCTCACCCAGAAGGAAATAGATCCCGTGCTCTTTGCAGAATTGTTTATCAACCACGGGGAGGCCCCTGGGGTGGTTCTCTGCCCACACCTTCCCAGCAAACAAGTACAACCTCCCAGCCTACCCCTGCCTCCTAGTCCATCCCCCTCCTTTGGACTGTTTTAAGTTTCGTCTCCCCCGACCCTCTGACGAAGAGCCACGGTGCAAATTCTGGATAGAGTCGATCCCAGACCGATGCGGGACGGACCTATTCCCAGCTCTGTGGATTCTGGGTGGGCAGGTAGATTTCTGGAGGAGATCTGAGAGATCAGGGCCTTTGTGGGATGTTAGTTGTGATGTGGGCAGGGGAAGAAGGCATTGGCGGTTAAATGTCCTCTTGGGCAAAGGCCTCGGCTTTTCAGTAAATACAAGGTTGTGAGTAGTCAGGGGCCAGATCTCGGAGGCAGGGGTTGATGGTAGAATTCCAGTTTGAGCAGCAGTGTGGTGATCAAGTGGGTAGACTGAGGCACTAGGAGGATTAGGACCGGATCTAGGTCACAAGGCAGGGCTGAGGGTCGAACCCAAGCATCCTGTCTCCCAACACCGGGTTCTTTCCAGCTCAGCCATCACTAACAAACACCAAAGTCTCTTGGTACGTACCAGACTCGAGGGGTGGGAATGGGGGGTGGGTGTCCCGGTTCTTGGAGACCCCCAGAGCGGAACTACATTTCCCAGCCTGCTGCGCGGGGGGGCGCACCTGCGCGCTGCCGCCAGTGATGGAGCGCTGAAGGGGGGCGCGGTAGCGGCGGCGAGGGCTCGGCGGGCCATTGGCTCCCGGCAGCGGCAAAGGCAGCTCCGGGACTAGAAGAGCAAGCCGGGCCCGCGGGCCGGGCCGGGACGAGCTGGTCTTGCTGCCATGGAGGACCAGAGGGTAAGACCAGGACGGGGCGGGGCGGGGAGGGGAGGGGAGGGGAGGGACGGGACCCGCCTCGGGGGTACCCAAGGAGAAGGGACTAGATGATGCCGCAGCGCCTCCCCGCCCCCAGCTGCTCTGCAGAGGAGGCCCCACCCCTGCCGCAACCTGGCCCAGTATAGCCCCTCACTGGGGACGCATTCGCTCAGACCCCTCATCATCTTAGCCTGGGTTCAGACGCATCTCTTCCATGCCCCATACCTCTGCCCAGTGTTGTGGACACAACCTTAACCCCATCCCCCACGCCTTCAGACCGGACTGCGGACCAGGTGTCCTGGCCCCCGCCCCGCCCCCGAGGGCGCCCCACTGCACAGGTGACTCCACCGACCTCGCGCCCCCAGAAAACAGACCCGCCCGAGGCCTGGGTCAGAGCTACAGGCCCCAGCAGGGTCCTCCCACGCCGCCTCCTTCCCAACCAGCATTCCCTCCCGGCGTCCCCTCCTCCAGGCCATCCCCCACCCCACTTACCTGGGCTCTCTGGCCTCCCTTCTCTTCAGCTTCCTCCTTTCTCCGTGCTAATAATACCTTTTCCAAGGGTCTCCCTTTCCCCAGGTTAGCCCATGATCTGCAGTCATCATTTTCCTCTGGGGTTTTCTTTCCCAAAGCCAGCCCCTCACCCGGAATTATGCCCTGTCCTCACAATATAAGTTGAAGGCTTTGTGCTCCAGCCTAGGGTCTGTTCCTTCCTGAGAGGCCCTTTGTGCCTCAGTTTCCCCCTCCTGTAAAATGGGCATCTTCGTAGTAACCACCTGGTGAGTGAAGGATGGTAGGGACAGAGCTTCACCCAGGGCCTGCCTCATAGTATATGTCCAAGTTCATTGGCACCCACATCTCCCTGGATCCCTGAGGATCTGAGTGGGGAGCCCCAGGTGGGGGAGCTGGGATAGGCACTGGGGCTTACTGGCCCTGAGTGTGTGCACTTCTGGTGGGGGCAGGAAGCTCTGCGGAAGATCATCACCACACTGGCTGTGAAGAATGAAGAGATTCAGAGTTTCATCTACTCCCTCAAGCAGATGCTGCTGAACATGGAGGTGAGGGCAGGTGGGAGGGGGCAGCCCTATGAGCTAGCCTATTGCTGTTGATGCCGGTGGAACTGTGGGCCCATCTGCCATGTCCAGGCCTTAGTTTCCCCATCTGAGCATGGGCTTTGGCCAATCCTGGCTGTTCAGACCTGCAACGTCTCTCCAAGGCAAACTCAGCCAAGGTGCAGGAGGACCTGGAGGCGGAGTTCCAGTCTCTGTTCTCCCTCCTGGAGGAGCTGAAGGAGGGGATGCTCATGAAGATAAAGCAGGACCGTGCCAGCCGAACCTACGAGCTGCAGGTGTGTGTTTCGGGGCACTCTCCCAGACCCCTTCCCAGACGCCATCCCCACTGCGCCCCTCAGATTCAACAGAGCCCAGGTGGCCTCCTGTCTTTCTCCAAATCTGCTCTTTTCCTGAGCGCCTTCTTGGAGATGCCCCCAAATGTTCCCAGTGTCCAGAACCAGACACCCTGATAGTGTTTCCTCACCTCCTCTTGCCCTGGTCTATTGCTTGTCTCCTCCCTGGCCACAACTCATCAGTCCCCCACCCATCAGTTCCCCCCCCCCCCAACCTGTTCTCCCTCTTAATCCTCTGCCCTATCCAACCCCCTCCTCTCCATTGCCACAGCCACACCCCACATCTGGCTGTTCCTCCCTCCTGTCCTCACCCAAACAACTCCAGTTTCACAGCCCTTCCCACGGGTCCCCCAGATCTGATGACCATCCCCCCATGGTCCTGGGGGATCTCATACTCCAAGCTGGGATCGCTGGGGTTGCATCGAAACCTCCTGGGCAACTTCCTAACATCCCAAATCCTTTTCCCCAGGGGGTGCGGGGCCCTCGGGCTCAGGTGTGGCCTGGGCATGTGAGTTTTTCAGGAAAGGATCCCCAGGTGATTCCGATGTTCTGCCAGGAGCAACACCCAACCTTTCCCCAACCTCCCTCTCCCACCTGGAGTTGGAGAAGGATGTGATGCCCTGGATCCCAAAGGTGGTGGGGAGGCCTGGGAGTGTTTGATGCACTGGGGTGAGGTGTCTCCTCCCTCAGTGCCATGCTCCCTGCAGAACCAGCTGGCTGCCTGCACTCGGGCCCTGGAGAGCTCCGAGGAGCTTCTGGAGACGGCCAACCAGACCCTGCAGGCCACAGACAGCGAGGACTTTCCTCAGGTGGGGTGTCCTAAGCCATACTGGTAGGGCTGCCAGACAAAATATGGGACATCCAGTTAAATTTGCATTTCATATGCACCACAAGTAATTTTTTTTCAGTAAAGCATGGCCCATGTGATATTTAGTGTAAGTATGTCCCATATGATTTTTGGGACATACTTACACTAAAAAAAAAAGTTGTTAATCTGAAATTCAAATTTAACACCGAATAATTTTTTTAGTATAAGTATATCCCATGCAAATGATTAGTATAAGTATTTGCCAAATGCTGCATGGGACATATGTGTACTAAAAGAATTATTTATTACTTCTCTGACCTTTAAATTTAACAACGAGTATGTTTTTGGTACAATTTATCTCATGCGGTAGTTAGTCCAGCAGATCCTTGAATAGCGTTGTGTCGTCCGACGTCATTTTGCTATGACGGTGATGCAGAAAAACAGCTGGTGGTTCCCGGCTGGGCCGCTGTCTGTGCGGAGTCGCACGTTCTCCCCAGGTCTGTGTGGGTTTTCTCGGGGACCCCGATTTCCACCCACACCCCAGAGCTGTGCACCTGTGGTGAATTAGGGTGTCTCCATTGTCTCAGACTGAGTTCATTGTTTCATATTAGAAGTGTTTGGGGTCCTTATTTAGAAGTTCAGTGATGTTTTCTGTGACCAGAAATAGTCTGCAGGAATGTACCTCTTGTTTATATCAATTAGCCTCTGATAAAGTTGATTTTATTACACGTCCCTTAAAGTTGCAGTTTTTAAGAACCTATTGAGGACATTAAGTGAGGACTTAGCATATATATGTGTTGTAAATATAGGCTAGGGCATACTTGTAGTAAAAAATCACTCATTGTTGATCTGAAATGCAAGTTCACTGGGTGTCCTGTATTTTTATTGGCTGAATCTCCCAACTGTATGTTGTGGGCACTGGCCGGAGGTGGGGGAGGGTGGGAGCCTGTCTCTGCCCTTCTGTCCTTTCAGGGCACGGCCAAGGGTTTCTGCCCCGGTGCTGAGGGACTTGGGCAAATGGCTGCCCCGCCGGGCCTCAGTCTTCCTGTCTGTGCAGTGGCTTTCTAATTCAGCCAAGACAGCTCTTTGAATTTTATTCTGTCCCTCTTTCTAGGCTGCCAAGCAACTCAAAGATGGGTAAGATACTGGATCTAGCCCCTAGCCTGGTGTGAAGGTGGGGACACCCAGGTGAGGGTCCCTTGGCCTAGAGCACTGGACCAGAACAAGGGGG